TAGAACATTTTTCAGTGCTTCGCCCTGAAGGCTAGGAAGTGGGACTACCCTTGGAAGAGTCTGTCAGGTTTGCTCAATGGAACAGTGGCACCAGCCCTCAGGACAACCATGCCTTGTGGTCAGGCCCCAGGGTTCTTCGTGCTTAAACTTGCATTCCGGAGACAGCCAGCTGCTGGACCTGATGGGGAAGGGCAGAAGGGGACTCGACTGTTTACCACTCAGACTTCCCTTAGACAGACTGGACTCACAAAAGAGCACTGGTGGCCATGGTTACAAGAACTTGTTTACTGGGCAATCTGATTCAGTATGTTATCTGGTCAGAATTGCTGTCTCTGTGAAGAAAAGTTTGCAAAGACTAAGCAAATTTGGTTTGAGTGTCCCAATCCCCTTCGTCTCCCTATAGCCCACGAGTGGATGGCTGTGCTAGAAAGAACCACGTGCCCAGCTGCAGATTGAGCCCCTGCCCAAGGATGGGCAGCAGCTTGCCTAAACCAGCAACTGACTGTAGCATCCAAAGAGAAAACAGACTCAGCACATCAAGCAAACGAAGCCCAGCACTTCCTGTGTGAGCTTTCCATTTCCTCAGCCAAACAAGAGCCAAAGGGAGCTGGAGAGGAAGGAGGGCTGAAGAGAGGCAGGATGCAGAAGAGCTCAAGATGCTGGTGCACAGAGGCAGGATGGACCCTAACTAAGGGATCTGTGGCTGTGAGGTGAGGTGATCCAAGGACATATGTCAACCTCCAACTCTGAGAGGAAGGCAGGAACACCCAATGACACCTGCACATGCTCAGAAACAGTGGCTTCAGATTCTTGGAAGGCTAAGCCTTCTTCTAGGAGCCCTGGTAGCATAGTGGTTACATGTTGGGCTGCTTGTTAACTGGAAGGTCAGCATTTTAAAGCCACCAACTGCTCCAACGGAGAAAGAGAGGATTTCTACTCCTGTAAAGACTGACAGTCTCGGGAATTCCTAGGGGCAGTTCCACCCTATCCTATAGGGTTGCTGTGAGTCAGAATCTACTCAATGGCAGTGAGTTTGGAGTTTGGAAGCCTTGTCATTGCTCCCCCAAACTGCAAATTGCCTAGTTTGCATTACAGATTAGCAACCTGAAAAGTTGTTTAGTCTGTGGTTCCTAATATTGCTAGAAAAGAGCTGCTCCTGAGCCAGAAGAGCTGTCAATCCCTTTGTTGGTGCCCAGCTTCACAATGCCTTCGCCTGATGTGTACTCTGAAGCCTAGAAAGGCTCATAGGAAGGAAACAGGGAACTGTTTAACGCTGCAAGCATCACCCACATCGTTACTGAGCTGGAGTTGAGAAAGGTTTGGGGAGAACATGCTCAACTGTATGTTAGGGGAGAGAAAGTTACACATTGCTTCTTGGGGTAATGCATAAGGAAGTAGTGTAAGGAAACAAAGGGAGGTAAGACTTAGACCATACAGTCCACAAAGAAAGATCAATCACTGCTGGTAAGAAAGCTCTGCTGTAGTCTTCCCATTGTGGGTCACCCACGAGTCCAGTAGACCCACCTGGCTATTTCCCAGCCCGGAGAAAATTCCCTCCCAAGTGTTAGTGGCAGCAGCCTAGGACTCCATATTCTAACCGCCAGTATTTCCAGCCTCCCAGAGAAGAATACTAAACGCTTGTATATACATGTAACACAGAGCCTGCCAGACACCATTAACACAGAAGACAGAGACAGAGATAGGAAGAGCAAAATAAAGACTGGGAGGAGGCAAAAGGGGGGGAGAGAGAGAGATGGACACTCAACCACAATAAGCATATAGAAGGCTATGTGCACACATGTTAAGATACTATGGTGCAAACACAAATAATGAAACTAACTAATATATGAATGGGACTTGGGACACATGCAGATACAAACACAAATCAAACTAAAAAACTCACTGCCATCAAGTGGATGCAACACAGAGCGACACTATGGGGCAGAGCAGAACTGTCCCTTTACAGGAGTAGAAAGCCCTACCTCCTCCTGCGGAGTAGCTGGTGGTTTCAAACCACTGAGTTTCAGTGAGCAGTCCGATGGGTAACCACTATGTCACCAGCGCTCCAAATACCAATCAGAAACAAGCAAAACTTTTCCAGTAATGTGCGAGGGCAACACAGCAATTTACTCATTATAACCCTTCTAACTAGTCTTTCTACTATCACCAAATGACTATGCAAATAAGGTGCTTTTATGGTCCATCAAGGGAATTAGCTCGCTAATAATGGGTAGCACCCTAAGAGAGCAGACCATACAAATAAGGTGTGTGAAAGCTATGATACTCAAAAAACAAAAACAAAAAAAACCCAGCCTGCACTGTCATCAAATTGATGCCAACTTAAAACGACCCGCTAGGACAGGGTGGAACTGCCTCTGTGAGTTTCTGAGACTGTAATTCTTTACGGGACTAGAAAGCGCTGTCTTGCTCCCACAGAGTGGCTGGTGGTTTTAAACTGCTAGCCTTGTGTTAGCAGCTCAATGTGTGACTACTATGACACCAAGACTCCTGAGAAAATCGTGATGGTTAGGGTTATATCATGTTGGCTAGGCAATGCTTCTCGGTACTGTGTGGCTATCCTTTTGTGATCTGACATAACTATCTTCCATTGTATTGTAAATCTTGATCTCTGTGTGTTAATGAGGTAGTATTATGTTACATTGATGAGGATTGAGTTAGGCTTTATTAATGGGGCAGGGTTAGTTTGGAAGGCACTTTAGGTCACCCTTACTCTCAGTCACACCTTTTTAATCTAACAACAGATGAAAGGAGAGAAAAATAAGCACAGAGAAGGGACTGTCTACAATCAAGAAAGAAAAAAGAGACCATCCTTTGGGCTCAGAACCTCCTAGACCCAGGATCCAGAAAGCTGTAGCACAAAAGACAGTGAGAGGCAATAAAATGCAGCAATAGAGAATGGCAACAGAGGCAGCAAGAGACTGGCAGGATATGGAAAAGTGGGCTTCCCAGACAATACAATCAGACAGTTGAGTACACCTTCAGGCAAGCGGTGGGTGGAATGAGGTACCTACATGCACTTTGTGGAGCTACAGGACTTTGTAATACTTACCAGGGTGGGGACAAAGATCTGAGCGAAATCTGTTAGTGGCCCTTGCCACTAACAGATGAGAAGAGGCTGTTCTACTTTAGAAGTATATCCGAACTCTTTCCTGATTCTGACTATATCCTGATACTTCCCTAATAAGCCCCATAATTGAGAATATGGTCTAGAAGTTGTGTGTGACCCAGCAGAGACGTAGAGGGTGTTGAGGGAGGGTGTAAAAAGGGTGGAGAAGGGAAAAGTCTGAATTCCACCTCATAGGAATGAGCCCTAGGCTGATTCTTAAGAGAAGATAGAGGGTGGAAGGGGAAGGGTCAGATCGTCTGCCATTCCATTCTTAAAGCCAGATAATAGATAGTTTACTAGCTACTTCAGACTTTGCAGCCAATGCGGCCTTTCAAAATTACCCAACTCTGTTGTTACTGTGTGAAAGCAGCCATAGACAAAATGTTAATAAATGAGCATGGCTGTGTTCCAATAAAACTTTATGGGCACTGAAATGTGAATTTATGTAATTTTCAAAAGTCATGAAATATTGCTCTTTTGATATTTTCCTCCCCTATAAAAAACATTCCTAGCTTGTGGCTGCACAAAAACAGGTAATCAAGCCAGAGTTTGCTGATCCTGGTATAAACAAATGCATAGCAGAAGCAGAAAACGAGGAAGGCAAAGTGACAGAAGCAGGTAAACACCGACAAGCTGAGATAGGCAAACAGGCAAGGCAGGCCAGCTGACACAGGAAGAAGTAGGTGGACAATGACCCATATACAAAAAAATGCCCCCTCATCCAGACAAACCCACACGCACAGAAACACAATCACAGCCTGACACACATAGATGTAGTCATGGACAAAAATGGGGACAGTATTGTAGAAACACTACCACAGGACCAGTCACCCCCATGAACACAGATAGGGACCAACACAGCTAAGATCTGACATAGCCCAGAGTCAAACCCAGATAGGTATGAAGACGGACACAGACATGGAAACACAGACACATGAGTACGTGAGCCCTCATGGAGAGGAATGGTCCCTCAGAGACACACAACCAAGAATGACAGACACACAGATGGACAATCACATGCACATAGCATACATGGACACACACAAAGGGGCTTCAAAAAATTCATGGAAAATGATCCCTAGCTAAACAGAGCCCCAGAGACAGACACAGACGCACAGAAATGCAGACAGGCAGGTGCAGAGTCAGACATAGAAATAACCACATAACCACAAATAGATCCATAGAGACACACCCAGGTAGACACGCACACTCCTTGGAACAGCATCTTCCATTGTAATACCACACTGAGAGAGCACACTGACACACAGGCACAGGGGTTAGGAGGAGGGGCATAGTGAGGAGACAGGCAAGCTCCTGCCCCACACACTGCCAATCCATGAGAAGGCGGCAAAGGAAGCGAATGGGAAAGCCAGCACAAGCAGCAATGAAAGAGCTGGAAAGAAACATGGAGAAAAACGAAATGGAAGAGAAAGCGACAATCTCTTACAGCCACATCAACACACCCAGACGCCAGAGGTAGCTCTGCAAGAGCTGGAAAGAAACATGGAGAAAAACGAAATGGAAGAGAAAGCGACAATCTCTTACAGCCACATCAACACACCCAGACGCCAGAGGTAGCTCTGCAATGACAGTATGAACAAGAAGTGACAAAGCATCAGAGAGCAAGCTACAGAGAAAGGGGAAAGAGAACGAGACTGATGTCTGAAAACAGAATAGCACTAGAGGATAGGCAAAAATTACCTAAAACATCAGGGGACAAGGACAGTGAGCAAAAGGGGGGGAAATCAGTTTACATGGTGAGGGAATAGTGAAAGAAGTGGGCCATGGGTGGGAGAACTGAAGTATAGGAATAGATGTGGAAATGAAGGGAAGCAGGTGGACTAAGGCCAGCAGGAATGGGGAGTCGACTCACTGTGAGGGCAGATCCAGGGATGTGGGTGGAGGGTTCCAGGTATCTGGGTAGCCAAGCATCCAGTCTGACCAGACTTTCACACTGGGGAGCAGTTCCTTCAGGTCCAGGACGAAGGAAGACACCTTGATGTCATCTTGGTCATCCTCGTCCTCGGGAGAGGACAGCTGAGCTGCAGAGGCAAAGGGTGAGAACTGGGCCTACGTCTGCTGTGGGCCCTGAGTGAGGTGCTGGAGTGGCAGGAAGCTCTTCGGGAAGGGAGACCAAGTCCACAGGAAGCTGGGCCCAGAAGTGAAGGACAAGTGTCAGCAGCACCGAAGAGGATTCTGGAGAGCAGGACCAAGCAAGAGCCCGTGCTGGGGTTGTTGTTCCCTGTCAACAAGCGGTGCGGCTGATGTCTTTATTTCGGCCTTTAGCCTGCCCACCCTGTTACTTTCCTTCAGCACAGTACTGAGATGGCACCAGAGCTCCTGGCAGAACTGCATAAACTGAATTTTATCACTCGGAAACATCGGACGCCCCCAAATCGTGAGACACCCTACAAAATCAGTGGCCTGTATGGTCTAAATGGTCTAAGTCAGGAAGGACACAGGAAGAAAGAACTGTTGCAGATTCAAGAGACATGACATCTAAATGCAATGTGTAATCCTGACCTGATGTTAAGCCTAGGAAATACATTATGGGCTTTTTTTTGGGGGCGTGGGGGACATAACATTATTAAAATAATTGGTAAAAATTTAATAAGATCATTTTATAATAAGATAATAAAATAAATGAACCCCTTCAGTGATAAAAATAGATTTATTAACATTATTTTATCAATGTTGATTTCCTTATTTTGATAACTGTACTGTTATTAGATAAGAGAATTACCTTTGTTATCAGGGAACAAGGGTTTGTGGGTAAAGGGCTATTATAGCTACAAATTTACAAACAATTGGTTCTAAATTTAAAAACAAGAACAAGAGTGCATTTATGTATGTGTGTTTTATGTGTGTATGGGAAGAGAAAACAGAGCAAATATAGTAAAATATTAACAATGAAAGAATCTGAACAAAAGGTATATTAAGTTCTTCAAAAATTCATATCATTGTGAATGGGTGGGGGGGTGCAGAGTGGCGACCCAAAGGCCATTTGTAAGCCACTGGACATCCCCTTATAGATGGATCTCAGGGAGGAGACAGCCAGTCAGGGTGCGATGTAGCAACAATGAAACATACAACTTTCCTCTAGTTCCTAAATGCTTCCTCCCCACCCCTCCCCACTATCATGATCCCAATTCTACCTTACAAATCTGGCTAGACTAGAGGATGTACACTGGTACAGATAGGAACTGGAAACACAGGGAATCCAGGGCAGATGATCCCTTCAGGACTAGTGGTGTGAGTGGCGATACTGGGAGGGTGGGTTGGAAAGGGAGAACCGATTATAAGGATCTACATATAACCTCCTCTGGGGGACGGACAACAGAAAAGTGGGTGATGGGAGATGTCGGACAGTGCAAAATATGACAAAATAATTTATAAATTATCAAGGGTTCATGAGGGAGGGGGTAACAGGGAGGGAGGGGGAAAAATGAGGAGCTGATGCCAGCGGGTTAGGTGGAGAGCAAATGTTTTGAGAATGATGAGGGCAATGAATGTACAAATGTGCTTTACACAATTGATGTACGTATAGATTGTAGTAAGAGTTGTATGAGCCCATAATAAAATGATTTTAAAAAGTTATTTTTGCAATTTTTATATTTTTTCCAAATAAAAATAACCCCTGCCCACACTTAAAAAAAAAGAAGGCTGTTTTAGGCTAGAAGCATCCTCTAAGCCAGTGGCTCTCAACCTTCCTAATGCCCAGACCCTTTAAATACAGTTCCTCATGTTGTGGTGACCCCCAACCATAAAATGATTTTCTTTTTTTTTTTTTT